CCCAAAAAAATGGAAGCTGACCCCTACGTTTTGCAGGTTTCAAGGGTCCTTTCCCACCCTCTCCAACCAATCCAGGAGTGCGCCCTCTACGCGGACGTCATCGGCACCACCGGGGATTCCTTTCCCTGCTGGCTGGGATATGCGCCCTACGCCGCTTGGGCTCGGTCCGGAAGCTCCGGTTCGCGCCATTTTTTGGCGCTGGATGTGGCTCGCCCATTTTTTTCATAGCCACATCTCCGGGAAGATAGCCAACCATCAAGTTAGCCAAACATCAAGCAAAAGACCCAGCCGATTCCTTTGCGATGTCTTGGATGTTCCAGCTTGTCGCAAATCAGAGGCAACACCAAGGTCTTGATCCCCCTTGGTACTGACCCTATGGAATGGGGAGGGGTTGGGCCCATGCATTTTATGGGATACCACCCCGCCTGGACCTTCAGACCCTTAAGCGCCGCACTTAAGGCTCCGGACCCCGCCTCAAATTCTGACACCCAGTTGCATTGCATGAGCAAAATCCCTTGCTCAGCTCGGTTCCGTCGGGGCATTTCTGGAGGGTGGGGGTCCGAAGCCTTAAGTGCGGCGCACTTAAGGTCTGAGCACATTGTCCTTAAGATGCCCTCGGGTACTCAAGGTCTAGAATGGGAAACCCCTGTGGGCTTAAAGGCTAGGGGTCTAGAATCGTCCCATGAGCATGTTAGACCCTGCTAGCGAAGCCAATTTAGACCCTATACCATCAGAACCCACCAGAGATCAGACAGATGCTTGCCGTAAAAGAGTGCATAGAGCTAGCAGCTTCGGCCAGCCCATTTGAGAAACAATTGCAACTCACCAGTTTGCGCGAGTGCGCTTAAATTCAATCACACCCTCGTGTGGAAGTGCTAGGTAAATACCTGTCTTTCCCAGTGGATGGCAGTTACCTCTATCATTGGTGTTGTCCCGCCTATTATTGGTGGGTTGACTCTTTGCCGTATTTTTTGGGGGGGTCTGTTCATATCTCATGCGGGTGTCTTTCGAATCTTATGAGCAAAGTTTTCGGCAAGGACCGGCTCTGAGAATGGCGACACGTCTTTGATTGCTTTTCAGCTTCTACCCCTTCTGGTTTGGAATGGAAAACCACGGGACACCACCTGCTCTTTTTGCGGGAGCGGTCCCTCAGATGGGTATCATGTCGTGTTTGGAGTATTTGGCATTTGTTGTTGTGGGTTGCTTCAAAGGAAACCCCTGTTTTTTGGAGAGCTGTGTTTGGATGCTTGGTCCTGGCCTGAAACACAGACTGTGTGGATGTTGGATGGATTAGGAGGCAGGAATTTCTGATATGATTGAGGCGTAATTATGGGCATGTGTATTGCATATAATGCATGCTGGCGTTGTTGTGTGTCATCATTCATGTTTGTAGAGTCGGGTGGGTCGTGTTGCCCCATAGTGGTCCGCCCATTGGTCTCCGGTTGTGACAAAGGGACGGCCCTAACAAAGACACGCGGCTTTGTGCGTCCCTCAGCATTTGCCGAGGCCGTGTGTTCAGTGCTGTGCCTCAGTTGGGCATACCGCTACTTGGCTGCACTTTGGCATGACTTTTGGCATTTTACCGTCTTGACAAATGACGTTGAGCAATGATTGGTACTCCTTTCGTCCTTTTGACCTTTGAGAAAGGACTCACCGTGCCCCTGACTACTATTTTTGTAGGAACATGGTCCAAGCCCGGGGATTTCAAAGACCAAGGCTACGTCTTGTCGGCAAAAGCCGTCAAGGGGGACTTCGTCTTCGAAAAGCGAACCGCGGATGACCAGATGAGTCGAGTCGACCGGGTGGTGGGGGAGATGAAACCGAGGGTTGGTACCTGTTGGGGAACATGACCCGAATCAAAAATAGGTCAATGACCCCATTATTAGGTAGTGACCCCATTTTTAAGAGGGTTTTGGAGACTCTAGGTGGGTGTGGTGTTTTAGTGATGGGACCCTGAAATACTTGAAAGCAATTGTTTCTTCCTGTTTTGGAGCTACCCGGGCCAAAGCAGATCCTTATACTGGCGCGTTGCCTGTTTTTAAGCTGGTACTCTCTTTGGAGCTATTTGCAAGGGAGACTGGAGCAATAGCGGGCAGAACCACTGTTTGGGAGGGTTGCCTTTTTGAGACTAATTCATGTGTCTCGTTTTGAATCGCTTAAACCTTATTGTGTTGCCAATGCCTTCTTGAGAGCCTTGATTATTGCCGAAAAGCTGGAGTGGTTCTCTTCGGGTTTCTTTAGGGGTTCTTCGGGTTCGCCAGGTTCCCCAGCTTTGTGGAGGCTTCTTTCGGCCAGGGTTCCTGCGAGTTTTTGGTGTACCTGAGCGTTCCTTAGGGTTGCGAGTTTTCGGTGTACCTGCTCGTTTGCATCAGTCGAGTTGGGCCCATTGCAGTTTGAATTCCTCGCTATCTTCGTGGTTGCGTAGGCTTCTCTTGAGATGGTTCTAGAGCCGCAGGTTGTCCCCCGTTTCTCGGCAGGGGTTCCAATTCGTGTTTAAGGTCCACCGTCGGTTTTGCGGGGGCTCCTTTTTTTCTACGGGGGTTCACTCTCTCTGGGTTGGCAAGCTGGTTTGTTCTTCGCGGTTCGCTTGGTTTTCAGAAATGCACTGGGATGGGGAGTCTTATCGTGCCCTAAGGGGATGGTGGGGGCGGATGATACCCAACGAACTGATGATGAGCGAGTTTCTGCACCAGTGGGGAATCCATCAGGCAGGGTACCCTCCAAGGATTCCCGAAGACTTTCCTTAGTTCCCGATCCCTAAGCCAGTGATGTTTCGACACTGTCACAAATTTCGCCCGGCGAGTTGGAGATTCGTTGGGGGGATGCCAGCCACGAAAAGCGGTGGCTTGCCCCTTTTGCAAGGCCGACACAGAGGAAGCAACAACCAGCACCCCCCCAAACAAAAGAAAAAAATGGCCATGGGTCAAAATCCCGTACCCTCCCAGTGAAAATCCCAATCCACACTAAACAATGGACTAAAATGGGTGGTGCCCATATAATATAGGTCACTTTGAGACGGTTCTCTTGGCGTTTTGTGGCCCGCACAAAGGAAGGCGGAAGTTGGAAGTCGCAACTGAGGAGTCTGGTCACATGTGAGTACCGATTCAGAGCGTGACGCGGCCTAGCCGCCCAGTGCGCCTGGAAGTGCTTGCCACGGGGCTTGGCAATTTGTGTGTGCACATTTTTAGTGGCCCCCCCGACATGCCGCGTTTCGCTTTTCCTTTCGGTTCCTCTTAAAGCCTCCAGAAATGTCAGATCCACATGTAGCCTTGGCGGGGGGGCAGTTTGCTCATCTTGTGTTTGGAGGGGGGGGCCTGTCGATTCTTCAACAAATTACTATCACACAGAGAGATCCGTTTTGCCCACGGCCACTCCTCGGCCCCCCCAGCCAGCTGCCCTTTCTCACCCTTTTTTTGGTTGGGATCCCCCACCAAAATGGACCATAGAAGAAAGGGTACCAACTTGTGGTAACCTCAAACTACTGGAGGAGGTAGTTTGGCTTATGGCTCTGCTTATCCATAGAAAAAACAATGATACCCTTATTCTAAGCTCTCCACTGGACCTAACGGGTACAGCCACTGGCAACCCGGCCTCGCGAAGCCTGTGCGCCATAGAGAGCCAGCTGCAGGTGAGCAGTCATTGCCTAAACAGAATGGGTCATGGACCTATTCTTAGTTCGGCTCATGGAGACTCCAGGTGCCGCCGGAAAGCATGCCTCGGGTTTCTTTTTTGGCAGGTGCGGCATGTGCTCAACATTGTCATGATGCAGACTTGAATGCATGCGGGCCTGTTTGTTTTTTCTAGAGTCCAGAGGACCCCAATGTTGTGGTTTTCCTCGTGGTTTCCCTTTAAACACCAAGAAAAAGGGTACCCTCAAAGAGACACACGCCCATGTATCACGCAGGCAGTCGTTCTGCTTTTGATTTCTTCTTTCGCGTGGAAACATCCGGACTCCCGGGGCTCTCGCCTAGGTGTTGAGAGCAACGACCTGGGCAAGAGGATTTCTATTTCAGGATATGCCCTCCCACCGATGAACACGGAACCTGACGTTTGGGTCCTGGTTTGCACCCCCATGTTAATTGCTGGGAGGGCAACTATGAAGGGACTCTGAAGATTGTTTGTCCTACGTAGCCCACCGTTGGGTCAAGTGGCTCCAGTGGGGGTTAACGTCCAAGTTTGGTGCTAAATGGCAACCTTCATGTTTGTCACTTCTTTTGCTTGTTTCATTTGCCCCAGGAGAAGCCATCTCTGTTTGCTTCATCTACCCAAGGAGAAGCCAACACTTGCTGTTGCTCAGCCGGGAATGAGAAATGCATTGACCGCCCATAAACCATCCCTTGTCTTGATGGCTATTGGGTTGGATCTTTAGAGTTTAACTTTTTGTGAAATCAAGGGGGGTTTTCCATTGAACCCGCAAAAAGTCACCTTTTTTGAGACTGTTCAACAGCAACCAACGGGTGGCTTTGTTCTTCTTTTTCTGCTGCTTCTTCGCGGCTCCAAAGGCTCCTTGCCCTATGTTGTGGAAACGGATGCACCGCGTCCACATCGCCTCAAAGAAAAGGCAAACAACAACAACCACAAGAACGGAATCGACCAACTTATTCTATCCTCTCCATATACTGAAAGACCCAGGCCACCAACTGGTGGCTTCGTTGAACGGTTCCTTCCCACCCAGAGTGAAGTCGGTTCGTTGAAGGGAATCCCAGGGCTCCCCCATATTTCCCGTTTTGGCTTTAGACATTGCCTTTTGGGCCAACTTAAAATGACCTGCCTTTTGGTGGAGTGATTAAAAGCAGGGTTGTGGAATCAAGGGGTTTATTCCCACTTCTGTGATACAAGTTGGAATCTCCCCCATATGGGGTGTTAGTCTTTGGGAAGCCCTTTTTGTATCACAGAAGTGGATTCCATTTCAACCACAACCCTGATTAAAAGGGAAGCCTAGGGAGCCCTGAATCCCAAAACGGGTCCACCCGGAGTTCAAACGCCGACGGTTCCCGCAGGCGGAGAAGTTCGAGAACGCGGTGCGGGCCCTCCAGGAGGCGCCGGCCGAAAAATGGCGCGGCGCAAAATGTACTCCCGTTGTGTGTTCTCTCTCTTTTTTTGTTTGTGGCTGTGTTGTTGTTTCTTCTTTGTTTCTCCGTTTTTTTTTGAAACATATTATGTGTTTTCTCATTTTCTTGAAAGTATGTATGCATTTTGTTTGAGTTATTATTTTCGGGTAGACTAGGCATTATTATACATATATATATATATATGTATATATCAGATCAGGGCAGACTAAACATTGCCAGACGTAGCTTATCTCTTAAACTTTGGTTGAACCCCTCTTGTGTTTTCCATCATTTTGCCTTTCAGCCAGCCTGGGGTCTAAGTCTGGTCAAGTAAAATTAGACGACCAGAATCTGATTTGTTGTTTGGTGGAGTCATTATTTTCGGTGTACCGTGTTGCCCTGATTTGCCAAGGATTTGCCCATGAACCCGTAAGGTATCGCTAGTTGGGAGCGCTTTGGGCATCATCTCGGCATTATCTGGGTGCTTTTTTTGAGGGCACCTGTTTTGGGTTTTGAAGGGAACCAAAAGGCGAACCGTTTTGCTGTTTTTTGGGGGACACCAAAAGACACACCCATTTGCCAGTATCTGTTGAGGGGGTTGCCTATTCAAGTTCATGGCCAGTGTGAAGTGTTTGACTTTTGAGACCCTAGGTTTTTCAGATCCGGGATTACGTATCTCAAAATAGGGGACCCCCTAGGGGTTGGTGTCCAAAGCAACCCAAAAAGGAGTTCCCTGAAAAGAGTGACAGACCCATGCATCTACTTTTGAGCTAATGCGATGACACAAACTTGGCATAGCAGTTGGTTGTATCTCCGGATCCGTTTCGCCCACAAACTGGGCTTCTTTGACCCTGAAGGCCCCCAACTTGGCTGCGGATTTGCTTTGGGCCCGCACAAGCATAGAGTTTGCACATGGGTTCCTGGAAGACCACTTTTCTTTTAAGGACTCCGGTGCAGCTTCTAGGTTTCTGGATAGAAAAAGCAGCTAAGCACACAGGTTCGTGTTTTCCACCAACCGTAACCCAACTCCACCAACCTTACCTAATTCGTTGTCTTCCAAACTACCCCATTTAACAATTCTCCATTTTTGCCCCTTTCTCCATTTTACCTACTGTGGATGGACTTAATCCTGCACCACTTGGAAATCATGGGAAACCATTGTTTGTTGGTATTTACAGGGGAATCATCATTCCATGGTTTCTTAGGTGGTGCAGGATTTCGTCCATCCACAGTAGGTCCCCCAGTAGTGCCCTTTCTCACCCCTCCTTTGGGGGAGGGTTCCCCTACTAAAACAGACTGCAGAAAAAGTTGGTACCCTGATTCTAACCTCTCCACTGGAGGACGCAGTTACCCTTTCTCCAAGCCCTTTCTCCATTTGGGTATGGGTCAAAATCAAACCACCAGGATATGGACCGCAGGTTTTAGTCCATGTTGCCATTTACCAGGAATCCATTTTGGGTATTCCAGAATTAACCCATGGTCAAAATTGTCCCCATTTACCAGGAATATCCTGGTTCCCACTTACCAGACGACCATATCTTTGACCACTTTCCAAAAATATGGTTGTCTGGTAAATGGAAACCAGGATATTCCTGGTAAATGGGACCACCACAGCCATTTGCTACCCCCAACCTCAGGTCGTCTTTTCCCATCGGATCGTCGAAGCCGCGCGAAGCCTCGAAGCCGCGCGCTCGAAGCCGTCAGGCTCAGAAGGAGAAGGTGGCAGCCATCGAGGCTCAGGGCCGAGAAGTTGAACCAAAACGGCTTGGGCACGGGTGCGCCCGGGTCCAGGCACACCACTTTGTGGGGACGGTACTACCTGGAGTCTCCATGAAGCTTTAAACAAACATGGTTGGTCATGACCTAGAATCATGGGGGAGTCATGGACCTATTTTAAAGGGTCATGGAGACTCCAGGTACTTGATTTTAGACATGGACCAAAAACAGTTGTTTGGGACGTGGGGGGGGGGAAGGGTGCTGGAACACGTCGATGTTTTTTTTTGGGTTTGAGAAATGTCGAGATGTGTTTGTGTTTGAAATATCCTCTGGCCAAAGTATAACCAAGGGGGAAATTGTTCCGACCGGCTTCCGCGGTGGGAGCGAGCTCCGGGGTGGTGGGTGGGTGGGTGGTGGGGGGGCTAACAAGCGAACTCATGATGGTCGCCACGAGGGTTCCTTCTTTCTTGTTCGTGCATTAGACGAGCAATTTGCCAAGTAAATCCGCAGTTCTCATCCCCGCCCCAAAGAAGAAAGGAACACCAATCCAGTACTTCTAGGGGTTCCATGGCATAGCCCTTTGGCCACAATGCATAGGCATGCACAAGTTGTGTACCGCCAACCTTTCAAGGGAAACCAACAGGAGTTGGTGGAAACAACGGGCGTTGAAGCCATTGTTGAAGTGGGGGGACGGCGGCCCCTGAGGAGCAGCCGGTGTTGGTTATGTTGGTTGCCAGGATGGTGCCCCCCCCCAAAAAAAAAGAAGAAGAGAGGATTTCCATGTGTTCTCTTGCCTTCCCCCCAAAAAAAAACAAAAGGGGCAGAAAGTGAGCTATCTCCCTGCTTTCCCTCGCCTTCTTTTGGGTAAGGCCGGCCTTGCTTGATGCTGAGCTGCTGGGTGTATACACGTGATCGGGGCTCTTCGGGGCGAGCGAGGTTCCCAAATTCATCCAAGGCATGTTTCAAATTCAAATTTCGTGCAGGTGGTTGGTTGGTTTCCCTTCAAAAGTATTTCATTTGGAAGAGAGAACCCCCCAAACAAGACATGATATAATTAAGGTCCAAGGAAATAGGTTCAGAGGGTGTCACTCAACTCCGCTCGACTTCTCTCGCGCTCTGCCGCGCGCGCTCCTTTCGCAGCGCTCGCTTGGGCGAGGGCGCCAATGAGCAAGCGCGGGAAATCAACCGGGAGGCTAAGGAGCTCGACGAGTCGAGGCCCGGTCTCAGCTTCGAATCAATCCGTCGGTCCTTTGCAAAGCTTAGCTAGGTCCCCCAGCAATTGGTGCCCTTGCTCGCCCCTTTTTTGGTTGGGAGGGTTTCCCTAAAATAGACTACAGGAAAAAGTTGGCACCCTTATTCTAACCTCTCTGCTGGAGGACCTAGTTGGTGTGTAGGTTTAACTACCCACCCATGCAGCTCTTGAGGGCTGTGCAGAGGCAATCCCACATTTTGTTTTCTGACGGGACGAAGGGTCCCATGTAGATTCTGGATTGTTGGCGGGGATATCACCTGAGCTTATATTTTTTTTGGGGGTGGGCTTGAACCGTCCACCAAAAACGGGTGTCCAACAGTTGTTCTGGGATTCCCAAATCAACGTCAACCAAAAACAATGGGTCCCCTTTCTATATATGCAGACCTATGGTTGGTCTCCCTATAGAAGAAGCCTATTTTTTGGGATCAAGTGCACCTCGATGAACTTAAGTTGGCGGTTCCCACAGGTTTTTAGGTGTTTAGGGTTTATGGGGCGTTTCCACTTAACCCACTAAAAGTTACGCTTTTAGCAGAACAGCAGAGGAAAAAAAGCGCCTGCTCTTTAGTCCGACACGTGGTTTCTCACAGCAGACTCCGCAACCTGTGGGGATCAGCGCGTGCTTGCCATTGGCGCACTGAACCCGGAAGATGAAGCACTGCATGTCACCATTCGCAGTTCATGGGTGAAGCAAGACGCTGACTGGTGTACGAGGTCTGCCAGCTCCCAAACTTGCTGGTCTCACCCAAGACACGGCTGCGACTTGCAAAGCTGCCTTCAAGAAGTTTAGCGCAGATCTGGGGCTTCGTACGTGGACTGTTCCGAGCATGTCGGTCAATTGCTGAACCAAGACTTGGCCCGGGCACCTCCGTGGATGAAGGACTCCTTTGCAGTTGCGAGCGCCGCCCCATGCGCAGGTGGGTCACGGTTTGCCCGCAGAATCCATGTAGGAACACTCCAAAATGGTTGCCTCCCCTTCGGTTTCCTTTCGTTCCCTTAAACAAGTCCCGTTGGATGAGGCAACAATATGTTTCTTCATTAAGCCTACCAAAGCTGATCTTTTAGTTTGCTCGGTTTTGCAACCTTTTGACTCTTTGTTTCTTGAAGAGGTTGATCATGAAGGTGGGAAGACTTAGCACCAATCCTTCTGGATATAGTTGTTCCTGCTTATTTGTATGGCTTAAGCGACCACTATCTAACCCCCCCTCATATGTCAGAGCACAAAGAAACAAACAGCCTTAAAACTATATTTCACCTCGCCTCCAGTATCCCGCAACAACTGCCAAAATCCGATGTCCAACATCCCAATGTCCAAAAAGCAGTGGTTGGGGGATGCTGATGTCGGTTGTCCTTTTGTAACCCCCCCCCCCCCACAAATCCATTCCTGTTGGTTTCTCTTTTAAACCACCAAACAAGGGGTATATCCTCCCAAAAAACACACACACACACACACACACACACACACACACACACACACACACACACACACACACACACACACACACACACACACACACACACACACACACACACACACACACACACACACACACACACACACACACACACACACACACACACACACACACCATTTTCTTGTTTTTTTTGACCCCCCATGGACCAAGCGCATCCATGCAAACCTCAACAAAAAGGAGCACCCATTTTCTTTTTGTGGTTTTTTGACCCCCCTTTTGACCCAGCCTCCATGCAACAAGTCCCCGAGACCCCCCATGCACCCAGCATTTTTTTGCAAAGAAATCCATCGAGGGGCAAGAAGCAGATGCGTCTCCAGCTGATGACGGAGAGCTCCAAGATCACGGACCAGTCCTGCGAGGACCCGCAGCTCAGCTCCGAAGCTCGGAGTCCGGAGGAGTGGTCCCTACTGTGGATGGTTGCGAAATCCATCCAACGCACCACCTCAGAATCCCAAGAATGATTCGATTCCCCAACGTAAATACCAACAAGCAATGGGTTCAACCATGATTTCAAAGTGGTGCGAAATGGATTTTGTCCATCCACCGGGAGCCCCTTTTGTGGTTTTAGACATCGCCTTCTCCCCAAATCCTCCCGATGTTGTTTGGGACCGGGGCGGGGGGGGGGGGGGCGTACTACCTGGAGTCTCCTTCTGACCCTTAAAAGGTGGTTGGTCATTACCTAAAATAATGGGGTCATGGACCTATTTTTGATTCGGGTCATGGAGACTCCAGGTCCCTGTATTTCCCCCTTTGGTGGTTTTAGACATCAGGCGCTGAAGGGGCCAAGTTAAAATGACCTTCCTTTTGGTGGTTTTAGACATCAGGCGCTGCAGGGGCCAATTTTTAAAATGACCTTCCTTTTGGCGGGGTGATGCTTAAAAGAGAAAAATCTAGGGAGCCATGTATGGTCATACTGTGGATGCTTGCAAATCCGTTCGGAGCAAGGAACCATGAAGCCACAACGTTTGTTGGTATTTACAGGGGAATCATCAGACATGAACGGTGGTGCGAAATGGATTTCGTCCATCCACAGTATGGTCATAGAGTCATAGGCTCTTTAGGCTAGTTGGAAAATAGATTGGTTCCACTGGTTTCCCTTTGGTTCTAATCATTTGGTGCCATTGATTTTTCCAGAAGGACACCTCTATGCCTATGGTCAAAGGCCTGGACAAACCAGAGGGTGTTCAGTTGCCACCTTTTCAGGTAAGCAGATAACCACGGTTGCAAGGGAGCACTGTATATCGACCCTGATGTTTATGATGCAGGGGCAATACTGTGAATAGACAGAATCCACGGATTCCGGTACGGTGCTGGTTTTCTCAACCATTATTTATTGCAGGCTTCATCTATCCCAAGTGGTGCGAATTGGATTTCGTCCACGGAATGGTTGGGCCCGGGACCAAGAGGAGAGAAGAGGAGACCCCCAGGGCACTCAAGATGAACCCATGAACTCAGTTGCCCAAAGCGAATCGACCTTTTCACCTTTTGGTGTTCCGGCCCCAAGAGGTGATCACCTTTTATTCCGATCAGGTCCCCTTGGGCGACTCAGTGATTTCACCCCGTCGCACCTGGGTCGCTGGCCTTGAGGATTGGGGACTCAGCCCCAACTCGACTTGGAGTGTGCTCGATTTGTGCGAAGTTGTTTTCGTGGTTTGGACCAGGCTTTTATATTTGTTTTTGAGAGATTCCTCTACGAGAGCTTGATTGAAGGGGAAACCAACTTGAAGTCGTCTGCAATGGCCGTTTCGACGTTTTTAGGGGGTCACTACGGGTTCTCAGAGTGCCCGTAAGTCTGCATTAGGTCTGTCCGGACCCTCAAACTGCCCATAAAACAGGGAACGCACCCGGCAACACATGAATTGTTCAGCGTGTTTTTGAGGGTTCGGGTACACCAGTCACATCCAGCACCGACAAGACAGCCCCGAGCTTACCCCGTGCGGGTCTCCGGAACCCGGCTGCGCGATCCGATCGGCATGTGTTGGACTGCTTTGGACTGGGACTTGCAGAATTTGGATTCAACCCGAACTTCTCAAGGGCTCCCTTTGTTTTTCACCCCCCAAACTTTTTGAAAAAGAAAGGTTTGGAGGGTGAGCTAAAAAAAGGTTCCCGAAACTTCTCAATCCAAAACAATGCAGCTGAAGAACACGGAGCCAGTGCATGAAGCATAGAGAAAGCTTAGCGCGCCCCAGGGCCCCACTCAATCTTCAGTCCTGAAGAAACGGATCCGCCCAATATTTTTTGTAAGGTGGCCGCCCAAAAGGTCAGCTCAAAGGTTGATGCCTCGCATTTCCGAGGCGTTTCTTGGGCCTCGGGACCCGGGCAGGAGACCAAGAAGCGGCTTCAAAAGGAGAGCGACACCTACAAGGACATGGCCAAAGCCTCAGGGAGGGTGTCGCGGTCGCGCGCACCGCGCGCCGCGCGCCGTGCGCTGCCCAGAAATCTTCGGAGGTGCTTTGGCTTCATCAAAAGGTTCTCTCCTGTTGGTCGCCTTAAAATAGGTTGACCTCATTATTTTAGGAAATGACCCCATTTTTTGAGGGTCATGAAGACTTTAGGTATGGAGATAGGGATCAACTTTTGGCCGAGTCGGCCCAAATGAAACTCAAACCACTAGAATGGCAACACAGAGGAGTCATGAATTGAGGGGCTTGTCTCCAATTAGGGGACAACCCCCTGCCCTTTCCTTTGAAAGCCAACCAAACGCTTTTGGTGCGCCGGTCCCATTCCAAAAGATCACAGACTAGGGCAGTGGCTTCAAGCCCTCTGCTGTTGAATGTTGAACCTACTGTGGATGGACGAATTCCTGCACCACCTAAGAAACCCTGGAATGTTGATTCCCCTGTAAATATGGTGTCTCATGGTTGCTTAGGTGGTGCAGGATTTCGTCCATCCACAGTACAGCTTGTTTTTTTGAAACCAACAATCGTTCTTGTTGCTGCTGGCCTATCGAAATCAACACCCTGTCTCGGTGCACGTCGGTATACTAGGAACATGCAGTCTTCTTTGCAACGACCGACACAAGATGCACAGAACCCAAAAAACGCAAACACGGAAAACAAGCCAGACAAAAACAACTACTTATCAGCCAAGAAACGCAGCTTCATTGTTTTGCCACAGGTCTTGTTTGTCCTTTTTAGACATCGGAAACCTGAATGGACACGCCGAAAGTGCATGTTTCCTCCTTCCAAGCTAGACCCCAAAACGAGGTCCACAGCTGGGCTCTTGATTTGTTTTTCCTGCAAAAGGCCCAAAGGAGCCTTGTTCCCAAGTGGCTTTGCAAGAGATGGGCGCTTGGCCAGATATTTTTTTTTTCTCGGGTACCTTCCATTTCCATTCTTGCCAGGGATCCTTCTTAGAAAACCTCCGGAAACCCGGGGAGAACGGATCGGGTTTTTGAAAAGAACGATGATTGAAAAGAATGGACAAGGAATCAACCCCTAGGATGGTGGCGGTGTATTTGACCTGCTGAGACAATTCGAGAGGGGTTGTTTCAATGGGAAGCTGCAGGCTCCGACACACGTTGGGGTTCTAGCTTAGCTGGAGAGTTACCCATATGGGTATGGGTCAAAATAAAACCGCCAGGATATGGAGCGGTTCCGTTTACCAAGCCATTGGGGGTACGCATTTTTGACAACCACAGCCATATAAAGTGTGAACAGTGAAGAGTTTAGCAATTGCCATGTCATTCCCATTTTTGAATTAACCACTGTCATGAAAAATGACCATCTCAGTTTACCTGGAGTCTCCATGACCCTTCAAAAATAGGTCCATGACTCCCCAGTATTTTATGACTCCCCACTATTTTAGGTAATGACCCCATTTTTTAAGGGTCATGGAGACAGAGCGGTGAATTGCCCAGAGCACCGCCCGATCCGATTTGCGATCCGTTCTCCAGAGGCACCCCCCCAGAGGCTCCCAGGGGCGCGTTCCAAAAAGTTCTCGCGCCTCGCGCTCAGCAACTGAAGCGGGCGTCCTTGGACCAAGAGCTGGACGAGTTCAACGCCCGGCAGCCCAGGAGTTTGCAGTGAGCTTTGGGGGTGGCTCGGCTCGTCTTTTTTTTGTGGGGGTATCCCGTTTGTTTGGTGGTTTTACAAAAAGAGAACCACCAGTTGGGTTCGGCTTTTTTGAAGGTATACAGTGTTTCTTTTTTTGTGGGCTAAAGGGAAGCCAAAAGGAAAACCGACACGCATCAGTCTGGAGGTTCCCCTTAAACAGCACACCCAAATGGGTGATGTAGACCCCTGATTCATAACCTCCTCCAAGATTGTCCATCTTCTGTTCTGATTTTTGCTGTTTCTGGACATTGTCGACCTTTCAGAAAAAGCCACAATCAAAACTCTTGACTGTTAACTTCAGATTAATCCACCGTAACAGGGATGGTTGACCGAGGAAATTGGTGGGAGCACATTTCTCGCCTTCCAGGTTGTTTGCAGCAACCCGTGGCCACACGTTGTTTTGGGGACCTCAACCTAGAGTCTCCTTGACCCTTAAAAATGGGCTCATTACCTAGAATAATGGGATCACAGACCTATTTTTAAAGGGTCATGGAGACTCCAGGATGATTTTGAGAGTCTACGGGGCAGTTTGAAAAGGCCCAGGGACGGTACGGAAGCGCACGCTTTCTTTGTTCCTGGAGGCTCCATGACCCTTTGAAAATAGGTCCGTGACCACATTATTTTAGGTAATGACCCCATTTTTTAAGGGTCAAGGAGACTCCAGGTTGTGGTCGGCGCAAGTATGGTTTAGGTTGTTTTTCTGTCATACCCAGAGATCTTATCTAAAGCGACAGAGTGGTCATTGGCATGGCCCACAGCTTCGTTTCCATAAGCGTATCCTTTGTATCAAGGGAGGATGAGTTCCCCCAGTTCTCAACCCGTGTCTCAATTTTGACCTGCTTGGGTGATGAAAATTAACTTGAACTTCGCTTTTCAGAGATGCTTGCAGGCCCGGACGCCCAGTAGCCTGGTTTCCACCTGTTTTGTTTCTGTTGGAGGGTGGTTTTCCCCATCAACTGGCAAACGAAAGTGCCCTTTGTCCCAAGGAAACCCACGAGGGATCTGTGAGCTCCCCTCCGGCTTCTCCGAAAGCGCGGCAGGCGCACAACAGACATGCCCAGCAGGAGGCGCCGGTTGGGTTCAGTGGGATGCGCAACCATGTGGCTGGTGGCGAAATGTGTGTGGTTTGAAATTAAAGAGCTAGGGTTACGCAGGTCTTCGTCTTTAGTTCCATTTACCAAGGTGCCATTTTGGTCTCCACAATTTTGAGCCAGAGCCAAATCCCTTCGCACCACGAAATGAAGTCATGGTTGAAACCATTGTTGGTTGGTATCCACGGTGGTGCGAAATGGATTTGGTCCATCCACAGCAGCAGGCTTGTTTTTTTCAATCTCCGCTGTCGTCATGCCAAGTACAGCTTGGCAGGCCACTTACGCTGCTTGAAAAACCTCACAGAGGTGTCTGCAAAGCACGACCTGCATGAACATCCCTTTCAACATAAAGATCCTTTTCATACTGTGGGTGGACGAAATCCTGCACCAGTTGGCAGGATGTTCATTCGTTGTTAACAGGGGTTCATCCATACCAACGGAGTAACTCGTGCAGGATTTTGTCCATCCACAGAAGGGATGCCTTGGTCGGTGAATCCGGAACATGTATCCCAAACAAGTATTGTCATTTTTGTTTGCAAGATTCTGCTGGGAATCCCCTTTTGGGTGGTCGGTTCACCAAGTGAGTAAGTTGTTAGCCAAAGTTACAACCTGTTGATAAGTCCCGGTTTAGTAGACTTAACCCCGTTCTTAGTGGGTTACAACCCAGGTAGCTAACCACTTACTATCCTGGCGAATCAAACACCCAACTAGGGAGTAAGAAGTGCTGAGAAACCTTGCCAGATCTTGAAAGTGTGACAAGCGATGCCAGTACGATTCCTTGTCACAGTTTGGTGGCGGGAAGAGAGGTCTTCATTCTTATTCCCACGGTTTTTCCCTTAATCAACAGCTGATGCAGCTTTGGGTTCGATCCCAGACAACCTTTGGGGTGGTTTGGGGCAGCTTTCAGGCAGGGCTCCGGAGGATCTGGCTGTTGTGGATACCACCTGCTCTCATGTCAACCCTGGATGAATAAACCCCTGAGGGTCCTCTTTAATGGGAATCCAGATCACTTTTGGGGTCCCCTATCAATCAGGGAGGTTTGTGAATCCGTGGTCAACATTAGAGTTCTACATGTTTTCGGAGTTGTGGGATGCATGACATGTGGCAGGGGGTTCTTGTTTTGAATGGTCTCAAAAAGGAACCAAAACAAAGCGAAGCAATTCCTTATTTTAGGGAACCTTGTTTGAGAAGCACCCATATCCCACTAAGAATTCGACTTTTAGCAAGGGATCGACGCAGCACTAAGCAGCGTGCCAGCCAAATGGGTTCAAGTCAAAGTGACCCCGCGTGGCATCACGCCAGGGGTTGTTTGACCCACTCATCGGGGGGCAAATGATTACTAGCAGATTGCTATGATCAACTTAGTTTGTTTCAAGTACACTGCCCTATCCTGCTTATTTAATCCCTAGTTCTAACTTGTCTGGTTGCGGGGGATGCGAAAGTTGCTGACTCTGCCATGGTCATTGCGGGTTTGCTTGACTTCCGCACATGGCTGCAGATTAAGTTGCATATTGTTTTGTGAAGGGGAACGGTCATGACGGGTGATTTTCCGTTGACTTTGGTTGAAACAGCACCCTTTGAGTCGCCCCTGGACAATTGCTGCCCATCCGCATCGGGGGAGTGCAGAGAAGCGAGCTGGCCACGCCCCTGTGCTGGTCTTTGTGTCTTCCACAGGGTTCGGGATATAGCATCACGAGGGCCAAGGACAAGACCCTTGGCAAGATGAAAGGCCCGCACCATTCACGAGAGCAATGCCTCATGGGTAAGCCCGAAATATGGCCTTAATTGGGGCTAAACAAGGGTTTCTTGGGGCTCCCTCCCCCTCCCCTCCCCCTGAATGCCTACCCGACTCTTGGGCAAGAATGGCATCGCCAAGGATGACCATGTCATTGACGGTGAGGGAAAAGTCCTTCCGAGGCAGTTCGTCTACAACACCAGTTCCTTCCTTCGTGAGCAAGGCGGTTGTGGTTTGGAAAGAGGAGATGGACACGGAAACATTCGCCTTCCCAGAGTTTGATGAGGCTCAGGATGTTGAGGAGACAGTCTTCAGCAAAGATGAGAGTGGGTTGCATACTTGGATGACATCTCTTGGTTCGAAGCCTTTGTTGCGAGTAGAATGTTAGGGAGACTGAGCTCAAGCAACAAACAGCACCGCCGGAGCCGGTCGAACTTCAGGCACCAGGGTTACAAGCCGGATGAAGCTCCTAGCTGAGTCCAGTGTCCCAAGACCCTATGTCAGGTCTTTAGGGGGTAGGCTCTCATGTACCTAGTTCCTCTAAGACCCTTAAAACATGGGGTCATGACCCCTTTCTTTTGGGTAATGAACAACCATGTTTTAAGGGTCATGGAGACTCTAGGTAGGTCTAACGGGATCGTGTTTTTGTTTTTCCCTGATCCCCACGTTCCGCTTCCGCTGGGCTGGGAGCAGCCCACCGGAGATCGCATGCCAGGTGACCTCGCACCAAAAGCAGCGGCTGCCTCAGACGGCTCCATGCGGATCCGTGTTCGTGACAGCCACCTTTCACTCAGCGTGTTTGTCTTTAGGGACCCAAATGGGTGTGGGTCAAAATTAAAGCAGGTTTTGGTCCATGTTGCCACTTACGCGGTGATTTCCTGCTGGTTTCCCTCTGAAGCTTTACCCAAACAAAGGTTCCCTCAAAAAAAGGACACCCCCAGTGTCTCTACTGCTATTGTGTTGGATCTTTAGACTTCAACTTTTTGGATGTTCACATGTCTTTATAACCTTCTGGAAAGCCGTATGGCCTTTTTTTGTGGCCCAAGCCGCATGGACAGAAAAAAACGACACACATGGGTTTCCAAGCTGCTCTACTGCTATTGGGTTGGATCTTTAGACTTTAACTTTTTGTATTCCCCTCATATTTCCTTTTAACCAGCAAAAAGTTTCAAACTCTTTGTTGGGGGATCTACCGCACTCAAGGCTGCTACTTGGAGTCTCCATGACTCTTTAAGAGTAGGTCCATGACCCCTTTCTTTTGGGTAATGACCCCATTTTTCAAGGGTCATGGAGACGCTAGGTAGTTCAACTTTTTGCCTGGAGATCGGCCCCAAAAGTTGCCCAACGCATCCGGCCCACGGTCTGCGGCTCAGCGCCCGAGGTTTGAGCGACTGAAGCGGAGGTACCGGCAGACGCTGTCACGTGCCTGGGAAGCCATTGAGACAGGGCGGAGGCTGTGCGGGTGTCTCAATCAATGACCGATCACGGAGACGGGGGCCCCACGGTCCCCCGACATGGATTTCGGGTGTCCTTTAAGTTTCCTTTAAGTTTCCTTTAAAGGAACCACCCCAAGAAGGGCATCCCCACCAGACAGACATGCGAATATCCGCCCTTTTGATTCCATGTCTTTGGGAGACCATTTTGAGACCGATCGGTTTTGATTCTGACTCAAGTTTTTTTTTTTGCGGGAACGCACGTCACAGGCAAGCCTCCTGAAAGTGCACCTTGTAGTTCGCGAGGTAATTGCCCGCTTTGTTTTTTGTCAGACAACGGGGGGGTTGTTTCCCTGTAATCCAGCACTCAGGTGACTTGGATCACGAAAAACTCACGGGGCCAGCTTTTCGTTGGTCCTGTTGAATGGAAGAAGAAAAGGAAGCCACGAAGTAAGCACTTTCGGAGATGGATCGATGATTTTGAGGATCACCCTCATTTGAACTCACCTTCTGCTTGGACGGCGGCTCCTTGTCAAGCCACCCGGAGCAGAAAGGCTGTGGTCAATGGAACAGTTTGGATTACGGGAACAGGCGGCCACGTATGCGACCGATGAGATGTGCTGAGAATGTTCCTGTATTTCGACCTCACAGCCACTGGATTTTCACCAATAACCTCATCGAGTCGCCTTTTTTTGTGATTTACTGGGAGGGTATTCTTAAGCTGGAATTTCAGGTACCTTTTTTAAATCAGCTTAAGAACATGTGTTAGTTTCCAATGTTGGTTTCAGAAGGAATCTATCAAGACTGGACTCTTCTCTCTTTTTCTTTTTTCCGGGGGGCTAAAGCAAATGAAAGAAGGAAGACAAATGCCGAAGATTTGGCAAGTTGCCACTTGGGGGAAGTTATGATGCCAAAGACCAACGAGTCAAAGGTTTTGGGCACTGGGATGGAGCCGCAGAGCTTGGATTGGTTTGTGAACCCACGGGTTCCATTTCTCATGTCTGGTTGAACTCTTAGAATTAAAGAGGGCTCCTTAAACGATACATTTTGCCCATTTGAAACATTGTTTTTTCAACACCACAACAAAGGGAAACCACCATTTACAAGGCAATGTTCAGGTGTATAATGTAAGGATCCCTGTTAAACTGGAGAAATGGCAGATGGCAATATGGGGTACTTGTCAAAATAGGGTTTCCTTGAAACCAACCTGAGAACGTGATGTACAGTCTCACCTGTTGGGCAATCAAAGGGCACAGCCAACATTTTTTTTTGAGGGCAGGGCCTAACATGGCTGGTTGGGCCCTGTCAAAGCCCTTTGAAGGATTCTTCGGCCTGGTTATTTCCTTGGGTAGCACGGGCTCACCATGAAGGTCCTTTACTTCGGGATCCAAGGCTACAAAATCTACGGCAGGCAGTGGGTTACCAGTAGCCGTGTGTCATTCATCCTAGCTGGTGCGAAGCGGATTCTTCATTTGAGGTGAGCTTTCCTTGGTAGGGGTGATGTTTTCAGGGGAAAACACGGCTGCGGAAAACTTGGTTAGAGGGTCATTTGCTGTGATATCAGGGGAATCCCTTTCAAAATGGCAAAGTTGTCACATGGATTCTTGTGTCATCACAAAATATATTGCCCACAAACATGCGGGGAATGTAGGGAGCCTGTCAATCCTTGGTCAACTTCGCTTTGGCAGCGAGTCAACCGACCTGCTCGCTGAGACAAAGACAGCGTCACGGAGACCCTGCCTCCGCTGGAGGTGAACAAGAAGGACCCGACCCCCGATACCGACAAGTCAGAGCTGCGGGCTGTGTCGTTGCCGAAGTTTTTCCCCAGCTGATTCAGCTTTGGGGTCTCAGCCCAGATAGGCTCCGGGGTGGTCCGGGGCGGCCCTGAGGTAAGGTTCCACGAGGGTTCCGCCAGGGTTCCACCACATGCTGTTGGGGATATCACCTGAGCTTATTTTTGTGGGGTGGCCTGTTGCATCAATTGGCTTTATTGGGATTTTCTGGTCACTTACGTGTGTTGTCTGTTGTTTGGGGATAGGTCGTCCTTTGCTTGTGGGTTTTGCCCCTTTTGCATTCCCTGGAGATGGTCGTGTGTCACTTTGTTTCTGGCGAAGGTGTTCTTTTTGCTTCTTTGGCTGACCTGATTAGACTCTTTTTTTGTTTCAAGTGCAGTGAAGTCCCTTTGTACGGGCGTGTGTAAAGGTTCTCCTATGTTGTTTTGTCATTTAACTTGCTTGGTTGGTGTTCCTGAATTTTGTCGTAGCAAGCAGCAATCACTTTTGGGGGTCCAAGTTCCAAGTCTGTCTCTAAAATGAATCTATGTGCGTGGCAGGGAACCTCCCCTTGCACAGTGATGGAATAGTAGGAAGCCGAAGTCCATGTCTAAGGTTCGATTTCGAGAGCAAGCTTGCTTTCAACCCTCTACTTGACTAAATTGAACATGGCAACTATGTGAATCCCAGGTTGGTTGAACGTTGACCAAGATGTCGGGGAGCCGGTCCGCAGCACCTGAGAAGGGTCGAGCAGGGCACAGCGAATTAAAGGTTCTGGTTTGCGTCCGAAGCCCAGGTGTCCAGTTCTGTTCAAGGGGCAGATTAGAAACTGACAAACCGCTTGGTGGCTCCCAGCCATCCGGTTCCTTCGCCTTTTAGCTTTTCAGTGTTTAGTGATGTTTAGTGGTAGTGTCCATTTCACCCACTGCACGTGAGTCACTTTTAGCGGGGGATCTGAGGGCAGCCCAAATTAAAACATAGGTCTTCGGGTTTTTGATGCCGTGTCCGAAGATCCGAATCCAATCGCCCGGAGCCGCTTGGAACCTGGAAGCTCCCCTGGCTGCCCCGAAGCACCGCACAGTTTCGTTCCCAGATGCCGAGCTAAAGCTGCGCTTACCCAGAGAGGCTCCGTGACCCGAATCAAAAATAGGTCCATGACCCCATTTTTTTAGCCAATGGCGCCATTTTCAAAGGGTCCTGGAGACTCTAGGCATACTTCCACCCAGAGGCTCCTGGGGCTTGTGGAAGACACGACCCCGAAGCATTAGACACCCGGCTGAGGTGTTTGGGGTTCTCAAAACCTGGGTGTTTGAGGGCCCTAAAAACCTCGAATTGGAGCCTCTGGGTAATGATTTTCCAGTTGCCGCCTCCAGTGTTGAGCGAAGCTTGTTCTAAACCAGCTAAATCGGGTACCCCACAAAAAAGAGACACACCGGGAACTCCGGGAGCCCACGATGGCTGGGTTCTTCTTGGTGTCTATTTACATCCCAAAGAAAACTCTCAGGCACACTCACGTGAGCTTCGGTCAAGCTATCGAATAGAGTCGATGGTCAATTTCGGAGGCTAGGGCATGGGGTGAGCTCTACATTTGACATGTCTTACAACAAGTCAAGTGGTCAATGTCCTTTCCAAAGAAGACCACGAACGTCGCTGGCTCATTTCCGAACCCACGTCCTTTCCGGGAACCACAATGTGTCGAATCGAAGCGGCTGCCGGCTACTCTTGAGGAGCTTGAAAAGACCACCAAGCTCCAAGAAGAGGACGCAACCTGGCATGGGTTCGACGTGGGACAAACAAGCTGCCGAGTGGGTCTCACTGGGCCGGGGGGTGGGGGAGGAGGCTTGGTCTCGATCTGTTTGGGCTCAACCTGCCCGGTTTCAGTATTGCAGAAGTCGATTCCTCCTCAGACACCCAGGCTGCTTGACTTTACCCTGCACCAGGGGCTGTCTCAAGATGAGGGGAGCCCCCAAAAGGGTTGGCTCCCCGCAGTTTTCAGCCCAAATCAATCAAACATGAGTCCCCCAAAACCAAAGCCTCCCCCCCACTGCGCCAACGCGACGGCCAGCAGCAAGCCCTTTGGACAGTGGAGTTGTTCCATTGGCGTGCAAATGATTGCTGCACCTATCTGAAGGTTCCATTCTTGAGGGTCCCTTATTGCGAGACTTAGCTTGCATGGCTCGAATGTTTTTTTTTTTTTTTTTTCTTTTTTTCCGGGAACCCCGTGTGGGTTGGTGAACAGAAACCTAAAAGAAGTCATGATTGGGTTTTGGAGGCATGTTTAACTTTAGCCTGTTCGTCCTCCGTTCTCCCACAGCCTTTTCGGAGGTCAGATTCGTCGGACTCGGGCATTCGAGTTGGTTAGACTTCTTGATGTGACAAGACAGTACTCTGTCGCAGCTTCGTCTCGTCTTCTGAAAGGGAGCGAACAATGGACTTTGCAAAGGCCGAGCAGTTCTTATGTAAATTTGGGGATGGTGACACAAGTGTAACATCTTGATGTGTCCGGTTTCCATTGGTGCTTTCTGTTTGGGCTGATTCCCATTGAACCAACTCTTGTGCCTCTCGAGCCAAATGGTTTCACAGGCTGGCTGTGGTCAACTGTGCCCTGCAGTTGTTTTTTCTTTTTCGAAGTGGGGGACCCCTCACAATTTGGTGGTTGTCCTTTTGTTTTTCCTTTAAAACCACCAACCAACAGGTACCTTCACCCTTCACGAGTGCCAAAAACGTTGTGACGTACTTCGGTGGAATTGATGGATTCGCCATGGTCTAGAGCTATTCACATATTGGTCGGTTTTTTTGAGGGTAGCCATTTTCGTGACTGTAAGAGAAACCAAGAGGAACAACAGCCATCTAGGGGGTCCCCGAAATCAGACACCATATGGATGTGACTCTTGAAAGACCAAAACGCGCCGGAAGATTGCGGTCCTCTTTGCCCTAGGGTTCACCAATGGAAAAAATGGTTCACCTGTTTCAGAGGGTTCAAGTGATGCCCATGAAAACCATGGCCTTGGCAAGCGCTGGCTTTGGATACAAAGCGTTTCCTATTTTGGTTTGCACCCCCGGATTTCAGCAACACCCCCGGGTCAGCTCAGGAATCGGAGCGAAGCAAAGCGACCATGTGAGCCCACGCGTTTCGGATCGCGGATCGGATCGGATCGCGCGAGGACATAAAGAGGCAGCGCAAGCTGCTGGAAGACATCCAGGCGGAGGCAGGCTGCTTCATCGCCGGCTCGCTCGCGGCCAGTGGGTGTTTGCTTGTTGACCCTGTTGGAGCAAAGAAGAGAGAAGAGGCCCAGCGGGAGTTCTACAACCAAGAAATCCCGGCAAACGGAGCCCGTTGCCACGCGCAACAAGACAACAAGAAACGCAGCTGAGCCATTTGTACACACGTGCCAAGTCTCATGGACCTTTCAATACCTTTTGGTTTTAGTACCTAAAATATTGGGGGTCATGGACCTATTTTTAAAGGGTCATGGAGACTCCAAGTGGTTACCTGTTTTTTCTTGTTGTTTGCTCTAGTGACATGTCTGACATGGCCCTAAATGGTTGACATGCCATTTCCTGATCCTTTGGGCTCGAGCTCTGAGCACCTGAGAAGAGGCAAGGACAGGCAGGGAGACGCATTGACAAAACCCTTGGACTGATACTGCGGGTGGGTCCACAAGATCCGTTCGCACCACGAAATGAAACCATGGTGGAAACCATAAGGTTTTTTGGTATGTACAGGGGAAGCATCAGACACCAGGGACTCTGATCGGCGGTGCACAATGGATCTACCGTAAGGAGGTGTTTCCTCCAGTCGGATCCCTTGCAGAAGGCCCTATTCATTCATCAACCCCCAGCGTTTGTGAAAGTCGGTGGGGCCTCCCACCCTCACCAACCCCCCAATCCCCACCGCCCCTCCCCCTCTTCCTTGCGCTTTGCTGTCATGATGGTTCTGTTTTACCCCAGGTGATTAGTGTCTTTTTGGTTGCCCAGTAGCACGAGTTAACAGCGAGCTCGAGCAATGTTGAGCAGGACTTCAAGTGGATAGTTTCCTTTGGGTTTTCCGTCTTTTTCGCTTGGTTTCCCGTTTGAAACACGTCTCCTCTTGGCTTCCCCTTGTTAGCTTCCATTTGGTTAACATGTTTCCCGGACGCTGCTTGGTGTTTTTTTCTAGGAATTCTATCACAACTGGGCACCTATTTTGTCCAGGGGACGTACCTAGAGTCTCCATGACCCTTTGAAAATGGTTGGTCATTACCTAAAATAATGGGGTCATGGACCATTGTTGATTCGGGTCATGGAGACTCCAGGTATTGGTATATGTGCAAATAGAGGTTTGCATTTGCTTTTAATAAGCAGAGAGAGACAAAACGCACACGATGAAGCCAGGTGGATCTCTTCATCGGAGCCTTCCTGAAGCAAGAGTCTCTCGAGAAGGACAGACCTGGGACTTGTTTGACTGACGGACGCTTTAGCCCGCCGTGCGTCATGTGCGTTGGGCTAAGTTCCCGAAACCGGCGGCCCCGGCTTTTGTTGTTCAAAAAAGGGGCACCAAAGGACACAACTCGGTTTGGGGGGACTTTGAAATCAGGGGAGCCCATGGGGGAAGTTTCGATTGTTTCGGGAACCGGGGGAAACAGCTCGTTTTCAGGGGAGCTTTGAACTCATGGGGGGTGAAAGTCGTCATAACAGCCCACGTGTGTATCGCAGATCGGGTATTTTTCGCAATCGTGACGACATCCCCAAAACCCAAAGTGGCGTTGGCTAACACCACGGTCTTCAAGGAGTATACAGGCGTATGTGTTTTCAAGGTTCCTCTAGGAAGTGAGGTAGCCCATCTCTATCTTGCGGACAAGGTTTCTTTATCATCGAGTGGTGGAGCTGCTCTTCCTGAGATTTCAGTGCTTCATACCTAGAGTCTCCATGACCCTTAAAAATTGGGGTCATTACCTAAGATGATGGGGTCACGGACCTATTTTTAAAGCGTCATGGAGACTCCAGGTCAATCTTTGTTGCATGTCCACGGGCAGTGCGAGTTGCCCGGGAAGCGAGCTTTGGCTCCCGCTGTGGTATCTTTGTCAAGATTGCTCGAAGAGCATCTCGAGTTGCCAGAGAAGAACGCCGTCCGCGCCCAATACTGGCAGAGGAGGTGGCAGATCAGCTTGTCGTCAAAGATGGGGAGGAGATCTAGCTCTCAATTTTGCAGCCGGGTTGGATATGCAGAACCTGAATACAGGTTGTATTGGCTGCACCTGGAGGTTGCGCCCGTGAGACGCGTTGGTCCACCCAAACTTGATGCGAGCATTTTGCAACGCAGAATATTGCTAATGCACGTTAATATACGCTCAGCCAGACATGCGTAGTGTATTGTAGGGCCGTATAATAAGCAACTGAAGCTTACGCAGTAAATCTTGTCACAGGAACCATATGGCAATGGA